AGCTTTCGGCTGCTTTACTGGCTTCCTGCACTAATGGTCATCAAAACATACCTGGAATTTCAAGATCCCCTATCAATTGTTAATTTCTTTTATGAGGGCATCCTGGGGATCCTGAGATCTGCACGGATGATACAGCACCATGAGTGTCCCTCTTTAAGATGTCGTAAAGGTTACTTTGAGAAAAGGTTCCGGAGGGTAAAGATGTAGTGTTGCTGCGAGCAGAGCGCGTAGCACTGATGATAAGGGAGAATGCAGATTACATGTTTTTTGCCGGCTGTTATGGTGTTTCTAGCCTTTTCTGAACCATGATCACTGTCACCATAGGCAGCACACTGGTTCTCATATTAGCTGCCTTGAGAATGTCTGTTAGCTGCTGGTCCTTGGTTTTTGCTTGGCTTTGTATGGCAAACCTGCCTCTTCAGCAGAGCGTGACCTGTGACATGAAGTTGGCTCCTGTCCCCTTTTCCAAGATGTGTTGCACAAGTACTTTAAAGCAAGCAGTTCTACCTGCTAGAGCAGTGCGTATACCATGGCTATAGGAATTCTGATGGGCTTGCGCCGCAGTCTCAGGGCATGCTATGCACTCTCCAGGAGCAGCGGTTTGTTGCTAAGAAGCTTCTCGCCGAGGCCGAGGGACTGGATGTAGCTGGTACGCTAACAGGGCTTCTCAGATATGGAGGCCCCCTTCAGTATCACAAAATCGTGATTTTTTTGTATCTCCAGGGGGTCTCAAAAGGGACCCTTCATTTGGGGAACCACTCAGGGTTTTAGGGTTTAGGCTCGCTCTACTGATTTCGCATGCTGATGCCTGCAGCTATGCTGTTACAGCTCCTAAATTTATCGTTCATGCCGTCGTGACGAGAAAACTTCAGAATCCTGGGCACGGGCATTGGGATCACCAGGAGAGACAAAGAGTTCATCGAAAGTTTTGCGCAGTTGCAAATTCCCAAGGTCATCTCATTAGATCACCAAGGTCCATCAGGACTCCCTAATAGCAGAAGATGCATATAAAAGCCTGTCGTCATGCGATTGGGGCGGCAACTCCTAAACCCTGAAAACAAAACTAAAGCCCTAGTGCCCTAAAACACTGAGCCACTCACGCCAGTATATTATATGATGTAATACTGTACAAGATTATATTATGTTATACTATATTCTTTCATATAACTTTTTATGATATTATAGTGCTGTATGCTATATTATATAATTCCACACCGGACCCCCAACGCGAGCCTGCAAAATGAAGCAAGGCTGCGAATCAAGTCGATGAGGCGTGGTACCGATGCCTGTTTTACATCTCCCCGCTGCCTACAACTTTGTTTGGCGCTGTAGGTTTTAGGGTTTGATTCCGGTTTGGCCTCATTTTTGCTGTCCTTAGTGGTGGGCAACATTGAAAAGCATATTGAAACTGCCTTGTTTTCGAGGGCCCAGGGCTGAGGGTTCAGGACTACTGCACCCTATGTATTGATCCAAAACAGTCTCTGTATTTGGTCCCCAAATACTAACCACCACTCAGTAGCACAAACAGTAGCTGAGGAATTTCTGCATAAATGCCTTCCGAAAGTTTTACGGTAGAATGTAAAGGCGGGCACCCAGCCGGGAAATTTCCGCAGGTCTATGCCTGATTCCCTTCTTTGTCGTCATCTGGGAGCTAAACGATATGTTTCAACGATTGTTTTGCCGAAATTGGCGTTCAAGAGTGAAAGAGCAGCCGCTTGGATTTTGGCCTTTGAGCGTGGCAATTTGAGGATGTAATAGGCTTTCGGGAAACTTCGAATACATGCTTATCTAAGTTTTTAGCGAGCTTGAAGGTGTTTTGTGGTTTTTTTCTAGGGATGTAGGCGTTTTTGGTGAAAGCACCCGCATGGGTAGTTCCCAAAATGAGGGTCCCATTTTGGTACCCCTGAATACTAGGTGCCGTAAGAGGGGGTCCAGAATTTGGAGAACAACCCACATGAGCATTATTTGGTGTACTGACTCTCGCAGGTTGATGCCGACATCCAGAAGGTAGAGGCCGCGGTATCCTGCTTGGAGAGATATTCTGTCTTTGGCTGTGTTGTGCTGAGCATCTGGAATTCTTATGACTATCGTGTACATGATTATCAGAACGGGTTCCAGACAACTTGTCGTGGGAGCTCTTGGAAGTGGCCATGAACCACCATTCTGTTCGTTCTGCAGACGTATTTCCAAATGTTTAAGTTCCAGCAATGAAGCTTGTTGAAATACTTTGTATACCGACCCCACGCAAAATCTCCCAAATTGCTACTAAAGTTGAATCATGTCGAGAGAAGCAGTGCGCAACTCAAACATCTGCCTTCATCTAGTAATTGCTGTTGATGCACAAATGCGGTGATGATCGCAGCATTGGCAGTATCAGTGGTGACGGCAGTGGTGACCAGCATGGTAATGAATAAAGGAAGCAGACGGATGAGACTGGCAGGCCAGCGCTGGCCCGCTCCTGGACAGCTCAAGCTTTCTTGTTCGCTCGAGTACGCAGCGCCTCTCCACTGTGGTCCAGGAACATGGGCATGACTGTCACATACCTCCACGAACATAGCCTCTCCGTAACAGTGAGCGTTGCCTGCATGGAGTTGGAAGGTTGGTGGACTATTACATGTTAAGGTTACATGCAGGGGACACCCCAGACTTGAATCCCGACAAACTTGAATCACCAGAGCTAATGCAGCTCAACATTGAGAAAACTGCCAGGAGCTCGTCAGCAAAGGCACTACCAAGGAGTCCCTCTTTGCCAAGGCATGGAGTCTTTTGCAGGCTGTAAAATGGAGGTTCATTTTATTGTTGCCTGCGTCCCCCAAGCTGGCCCTTGGTAAAAGAATCCTATTTCTCAAAAATGGGGATAATGGAAAAGAAAATAGAAACTACTGGGGTTATATAGAGGTAATATAAGGATAATGGAAGAGAAAATGGAAACTACTAGGTTATAGACTTTTCTTCCAGACCTCCAAGTGGGTATTGCGCATCTTGTGCCCAGTCTAGGCCTGTGGCGAAGGCGGCACGAAGGTCAGCGCAGACCAGTTCAAGGCCCGAAACGAAGCATGAGATCAGTGCTTTGCGGTTCAGCGCTCGCGCTTGGAATGGCAGGCCCTTCAAGCTTAAAAAAGGCTTTGGTCCACCAATCGGATAATTTCCACGATTTCGTGGTGGCTCTTCCGATCTTGGAACATTATGATACTCTAGAAACCAACTGAGCGCACTGCTTCCCTGTAAAATAATCATCATTTTCCAAACAAGAGGCACTGCCCATTGTCAATGCGAGATACGACATAGCCCTAAATGATTTGATTACAACCCGCAATATACACCTTGCAATCCTACATACTCCTAGATGACATCAAAGCCTATAACTCAGAGGAGTTGAACCTTTCCCTACTATGATGTAGTTTTTTCCATTTTCTTTCCATTATCCCCATATTACCCCTATATAACCCCTTTTAACCCTGATAGTCTACATTTTTCCATTATCCCAATATACCCCTCATATATACCCCATAGACCTCGTATAACCCCAATAATCCCTGTAGTTTCAATTTTCTTTTCCATTATCCCAGGCCTTTGTGGCATGGCTTGCGGAGTCTGAAACCTCTGAGGATGCAGAGCCCGGTCCTCAGCGGAAGCGGGCCGAATTTGGGTTTAGGGTTTATATAGGGTATATACTGGAGTTATATTGGAATGGTGGAAAATAGGATTGACAGTATTATTTGGGGTTTGAATTGGGTTCAGGGTTACCTGGACCTCCAACAGCATGTAGAATTATGGCCTTTTGGGCAGTCTTGGGGGTTTGGGGATTAATTATTCTTTCACCTACTTATGGGGTCTAGGTAGGGTTTAGGGATCAGGGTGAAGGCTTCAAGGATTAGGAATTGGGTGTTAGGGTTTGGGGGTTGATGTTTAGTGACAAAGGTTCTCAAGTTGGGCGCCCTTTTTGGGGGGGGGTCGTTAGCGTGGCGGTTAAATGTGGGTTGAAGGACTTGCCAAGTCGGAGCTCTCATTGAAAGTGCACGTCACTCTGCAGATACACTAGTCCGAAGACCGCCACTCCAGCACCGAATGTAGGATGTATAGTCCCCCCTAAGTAGATAGAATATGGTTTATATGGGGACCTTATTTTGGTATGGGGCAATTCCACATTCTCTCTACTTAAGGGGGACTATAGGGCTTCAGTACTCCCAACTCTTCAGGGCTCCCAATGAATTCAACAAGCATCAAAGCCTTGCAAGTATTTCTATTGCTCAAGCTTAAAAGGGTCTTCTTATGTTTCCCCAAAGACAGAATTATGAGATTCTGAAATCATTCCTGTTTTGTGTAATGGCCCCAAGCCCGAATTTGGGGACAGGGACGGTCACGGCAAGTCAAGCTGGAAGGATTCACAAACTTGCTCCTCCCTGTGCACTTACGCTTGATCAGAACAGTGCCATCTCTTGCGGTCTGTTTGGTTGTCAGAGGTATCGCTTCGAGTTAGCTTACAGAAGGCCCCTTATCCGTCATGACAACTATGTTTGAGGTTCCTCGACGAGCAGCTCCAAGCTGGCAGCTGAGTGATGTCCAATGTTGTTGTTGATGCCCAGGAGTTTGTATTTATGGTCTTGACTACTGCTTATACTTCTTGCAGTGGTGTGCTGCTCCTACTACACAACCTTCTACTTGTACTTATCTACTGTTACGACGGCGATCACGACGCTGGCGACCACGACTATTCCTGCTACTCCTATTGCTGCTGCTGCTGCTGCTACTGCTACTGCTGCCACTGCCACACTACCATTACCATACTACCACTACCACACTACCACTTTGGCTGGCATTACCGCTACCACTATCACTACCAACCACTACCACAACCACGAGCACAGCCACCACCAGGTCTACCACTGCCAGCGCCGCCGCCGCCGAAGCCGCCCGGGTCGATTGACCGTATCGTTGAATATTGCCTGCTATTTGGACTGCCTCCCAGAACCGCTGCTGCCATAGATCACTCCAAGGCCATGTTTGAGCAACTCGATGCTGACAAGAGCGGCGACTTGAGCGAGCAAGAGTTTCAAAGCATCTTCTCCGAGTTCTTCGTATGCGTGCGCCTGGATTTGAATCATAATAGTTCGGTTTGGATTTACATGAATCCTGCAGGTACAGCCCATCTCCATGACAGAGGGGATGTCCATCAGCAACGGGAAGAGTGTTGTGAAGTTGGAAGTTGGCATGATGGTGGAAGCCCTGGAGATGTGGGAGCCCCAAGCATCAGACAATCCCTGCCCAGTAGATTGGACAAGGATTCGGAAAATATGAGTTTGGATGCCATAAGAGGAATGCCTGCAGCTGAGTCCCAGACAGAACATAGTCGTTAAGCATGGACCAGGGCTTTCCACTGCACAGAAGGGTGGGTTCGCATCTGTTCGTCAATTCGATGCGGCCAGCTACAGCTCAGAGGCTGTGTTCCTGGTTTCATAGCCATGTGGAGACTCCATCAAGGGAGATGGGAGACAATGGAGATGTGGAGGTTTAGGATCACCATTGTCATCAGTGGACATAAGGGGCTGTATTTGATACCCCTGTCAGGGTCAAGTGGCAGGATTCAGTTCTGAGAACATAAGAGTTTCTGGCACATTCCTTCACGGGACCCCATGCGGATCGATCTGTGCATCATCCTTGCATCATGTCTAGATAGCCCCCATGGAATCTGCAAACAAGCGTTTGAGGAGATACCTTCGGCACTCGCCTACAAACCCTCAGCTCTGAACCCTAGACCCTGGACCCTAAATCTTTAACTCCTAAACTCCGTGCTAAATCCTAAAACCCCAAACCCTTCCCCTAAACCCTAAAACCTTACAGCCTGAATGCCCCATCCTTAGCCCTAAGCAACTCACCCTGGACCGGAACCTCGCCTTAACACTTCACGTTTAGGGTTTAGAGTTTAGGGTCCCCACTTCCAGCTTGCAAGGCCCCAATTCGACGAGGCTCAGAAGCTCACACGGCTACGCTGCCGGGTGATTGAGGACACTGGGAACGCTTTGACTGCAACAGAAGGAAACAGTTTAGGTAGAGGTTTATGTAGAGTTCGGGGATCCTCCTTCTGGGCATCCTATTTTGCAGGAAACATATAATCTTACTGGGTGCGAGTATCACAAGAACCCCCTCCCCACCCCCCCCGTGTCAAAGAGCAACCCCATGGTGGAGGACTCCGTCAAGGAGGGCTGGGTCACGATGAAGGGCAACCAAGGCTTGGCCTAATGCTGGGAAGTGGGATGATTTGGTTTAGGGTTTAGGGTTTTTTTCTCCTCTACAAATTGCTCTGAAATTTGTAGAATACTTGCCCTGGGTTGCTGTTGTTGTAATGTTCTCTATGTAGGTTTCCTCCTTGATTGGGGCAGGTTCCTGTTGGGTAGCAATTCATGGGGTCAGCGCGAAAGGATATCCTTAGTGCTGCTGCAAATGTCTGCTGTCACTACTGCTTTTGAGATTTGCTGTGGTGGTAGTTAGTGAATTGCTGGAACTATGACCCGAGATGCCTTTCATTGTGGATGGGCATTGTTGTAGCATTGATTGAAGTCAAGGCAAGCCAAACTTAGAAAGTTGCAGTTTCTGCAGCCTTTCCTGTTGCTATGATCAAGCATGATTATGTACACTGCTCCCTACCTTTTTTTGACAAATCCCGATGTGGACGGCAGGCAAAGTCTTCCTTTCCCGCCAGTCACCGCACAACACGGCCCTGAAATCCTTCGCGAGGACTGCCATGCAAGCGTTCAGTCCGGTGAACCATCACCTCAAAGATGCAGATACGTGCAACAAGAACCAGTCCTGAGGTAGCAGTACTAGAGCTAGTCATGTAGTAGAAGAAGATAGAAGAAGTAATTAGTTGGCAGCAGCGGCAGCAGTGGTAGGACGTAGTCATCGTGTCTGTCAGTCCACTTGGAATTCCATTGCGGTCAGGAGTTGGAGTGCTGCTTCCAAGCAGGTGGAGAAGGCACTTTCTAGTCGGCAAGCAAAGTAAGGGAGGTCTTTCGAGATGTCCCGCGAGGGCTCCTACACAGTGTAAAGTGCTTAGCATGGTTGCCTTACATGTTATCACGGGTTATCCCGGATTGCAGCTCTTGCTACTTTTGCTATTTCAGAGTTGCAAGAACGACTGGCTGCAATGATGGTAGCTGCTGTCAAGGCACGCGTCACAAAGTGTGATGGCAACAGCAGAAAAGTTTTAGATTTGGGGCTAGCAGGGCTTCATCAGGCTGCTTCAGGCGAAGGGACAGCTTTCTTTCTCCTTATGCACGAAGCCGCTTTGCAAATGCAGGTGCTTTGCGACCACTTTGCATCCTTTTTCTGTCCAATGCCTGTGTTCCGGGAATCTCTTGCTTACTGTGATGTGTTGGTCGCTCTGACTAGACTTATCGATTGGTGTGTCAGCTGACAAAAATGTCGCAGGAAGGGTTCTTTACAGACGATCCACAGCACCCTTCTTTTCCCCAAAGCGGAACGTATAATCTTGAGAAGCCCTGACGCCAAGGCCCTTTATCTATGCAAAAATTCAAATGTATGCTCGACATTATAGACCTACAGATATATACATATGTATACCTGTATACAGATATACACACCATGACCTCCCTCCCTCCCTCTTCCTCCCTCCCACTCCCTCCCTCCCACTCCCTCCTCCTCCTCCCTCTCGCTCTCGCACTCGCGCTTCAGATTTATATGTGCACGCAACTACATCTCTAAGGCACATACCCTACTTACTGCAGAGGTCTTGGCCCACATCATCGCCAAGAGGAAGGAGCTGGCTTCCTGCAGTCAAGGACCGTTGGCGGAGGCCACATGGATGTGGATGGGTACTCTGGATACTCTGTACATAAATTTGTATCTAGTTACTGAATTATTCTTGTAATGTACAGGACAGTATAAATGTACAATTGCAGTTCTTAGTAGGGTTCCTTCTTGAAATGGGATGCTGGGTGTGTTTGGGGATTGCTTTTTGGCTGTCTGGGGATTTTGGAATGTGCCCCTTTCTCTTCCTGACACGCCCCTTCCTCTAGACTCCTCCACAACTGCACTCAGTGACTGGAGGCATGACAGACTGTTGCGCCTGAAAACTTCCTGATATTTCTTGTCAATAGAGGAGCCTTTCTATTGGCGGCGAGAAGCTGTGTTGAATTGTCCAGTCGTACTAGCCTCTCATGGTCACTCCTTCAAGCGGGGACGGTTTACATTGACTTTTACGAAGGCGGTCTCATGCTTTCATCTCTGCAGGTTTATCGTAATTTATATCTACAGTACGTTTCAATTTGGATGAGTCTAACTGCATCTTAATTCAGGGGACGTGTAGTTACCCTGCTTCTTATTCGCCATGGACCTTCAAGTAAGGACTAGATCATGCCGAAAAAAGACACCCAGAAAGCCTCTGTACCCCTAAAGTTCTAGGGTATAGCTTAAGTACATAGAGTATGGAATCGCCCAATATCATGATAAGATCCCCACAGCCCCCCATATTCTATCTACTTAAGGGGGACGGTACCCCTATCTTGAGCCTTGAGGACTTGGTATTGTAGGTTTCACTGCAGCAAGGGGATCCTGACCCCAGGGCGGGAGAGTTGGGAGGAAAACTCGGGCAGCTCCTTACTCTGGAGGTCCAAGAGTAGACCTCTATAAGCAGGGCTCCACACGTACAGTTATAAGCAGCTATAAGTACCATAACCCTCAGGCCACTTCCGACCCTAGTCATAACTACCTGTGACCCTCCAAGCAGGCATAGCCTACTGGCAGGTGCAGGGTTCTTGCCGGAGGGGACATTTCACGTAGTCTTGAAAAGTTCCAGCCCGGCACCCTAAATGGAGCCTGGCGTTGCAACAGGTGCCAAAATCGTCCCTTATCGAGGCTATGTCAAAGTACACACTCTTCCTCCTTCTGCGTGCAACATATTATATCCTACATGCATACTAGTAGAGGCCCAGATGCTTCTCTGAATTTACCCATACTTCAGTGCAACCTCCGAGGCTAGGGAGAAGCTGGAGCAGCTGAAGAGCAAGGCGTGTGCATGTCCTCAGAAGTGTCCTGACAGGGCTTCAGAGTACCTGGGGCAAAAAGATGTGGGATTCCTGAAGAAGAAAAGTGGGCTGATTGCGGATTCGTGGTTAGTGCATGATATGGGAGCATCCGAATTTGGAGAAGCATTTTTTGAGTGCCGAAAGGTTCAGGGTGCAGCTCCGTGCCTTGGGCCCTGCCCTTCAAGGTATGTCCTTTGGATTCAAGTGATCTAGCTTCAATACCGCGAACCACATAGGCCCGGAATCCCAAGCGTTCAACTCTAAAACTATACACCCAAAGGCTCGAATCTGAATGAAAGAACGCTACTCAGTCTTTTTGGGCCTTAAACCCCCGACGCCTGCAGCCCGGAACCCCTGAAAAATTAATTTCTCCAAAGCACCAGTCTGACAGACTCCTCCGGGCCAGGTCCTTGCATCGCAGAAGCAGTTAGGAGACCTCAGGAAAAAGGTGGAGGCAGCCAAGAAGGACTACGAAAAGTTGGCCTGGCAAGATTTGGCAAGTTGGGGCAAATTGCGCGAGGTCAACAGCGGCAAAATCTAGTAGAAGGAACAGAATGTTCCGCATGAGACCAAGATCAGGACACAACCCCCCTTTCCCTGCATCCCTAGTTCTACGCCTTGCAGTTTACGCCCTACACCCTGTGGGCAAAATTGCCACAATTCAGACCGCAGACGCAGAAGATCTGTGGCAAAGGTGTTGCACCTACCATGCTGAAGCAGAGTGATGGGTGCGTAGCCCAGCCTCATGGACATCTAGCGGCCTTCTACACGAAAAACCACAACCCTAAGCACTAAACCCTCAACACAGAGCTCAAAACCCCAAACCCCATTCCCTGAACCCCACACCTCAGACCCAAAGTCCCAAACCGCAAAGCCTACGCCCAGCCTCACAGGCTACGCCCCCAAATCTAAACCCTTAACCCGGCAGAGGTGCCAAAACGAAGCCTCGAAAGCCTGAGCCCTAAACCCCTGATCCTAGACCCGAAGCTCTGCATCCTAAACCTTATACAAGGGGCTTTAATGCTTAGGATTTAGGGTGTATATAATATAAACCCTAAATCCTAAGCATTACACCCTCTAAATCCTGAACTCCATAGCAGTAGGCCAGTGAACGCCAGGTGTGCGGAGCAGGACCGGAAGGCCCGTGACCAGGCCCGGGAGAAGAAGCTCCTGGCCGTGGTGAACAAGGTGCTTGGGTTTAGGGTTTACATTATATGGGGATTATAGCGAATATATTGGGATTATATAGGGAAAATGGAAAAGAACATGGAAACTACTTTATGGTTTACATAGGGATTATAGTGTATACATTGGGATTATATAGGGAAAATGGAAAAGAACATGGAACTACTTCATGGTTTATATAGGGATCATACGGTATATTTTGGGATTATATAGGGAAAATGGAAAAGAACATGGAAACTACTTCATGGTTTATATAGGGATCATAAGGTATATTTTGGGTTATATGGGGATAATGGAAAAGAACATGGAAACTACTTCACGGTTTATATAGGGATTATAGTGTATACGTTGGGATTATATAGGGATAATGGAAAAGAACATGGAAACTACTTTATGGTTTACATAGGGATTATAGTGTATACATTGGGATTATATAGGGAAAATGGAAAAGAACATGGAACTACTTCATGGTTTATATAGGGATCATACGGTATATTTTGGG